AAGCCAGCGTCATGTCCGTCGCGCCGCAGGTCGTTCCGTGCGGCTCGTACGACATCGTACTGGGCTCGTTGCTGCTGCAGTCGCGCTTCGTGGCTGAGGATCTGCTGCAGCGTCTGCCGAACACTTCCACTTTCGTGATCCTCACGGATGCCAACGTCGGTCCGCTGTACGCCGAACCGCTGCGTGCACAGTTGGCCGAGCTGCTACAGGCTCAGGGCAACACCGCACGCCGTGTATTGCTGCATGCTGTTCCTGCGGGTGAAGCGTCCAAGTGTCGCGAGATGAAGGCGAAGATCGAGGACGAGGTCTTGTTCCCCAACCGTTGTCACCGTGACACGTGCGTCGTGGCTGTAGGCGGCGGCGTCGTGGGCGATTTGGCCGGATACGTGGCCTCCACCTACATGCGCGGTGTGCCATTCGTGCAGGTTCCTACGTCGCTACTGGCCTGTGTGGACTCGAGCATCGGTGGCAAGACTGGTATCGATGTAGAGGCCGGCAAGAACCTGCTTGGCGCCTTCCACATGCCGCAACGCGTCTACATCGATCTAAACGTGCTGCACACTCTGCCTAAACGCGAACTCGTCAACGGAATGGGCGAAGTCATCAAGTCTGGCGCCATCTTCAACGCCGAACTCTTTGAGCTGCTCGAGAACTCGGCTGAGACCATCCTCTCGCTCTCCGATATGGACGTCGTGCAGCGCGTCGTGGCGCTCACGGTGCAAGTCAAGGCCACAGTCGTGACGCAGGACACGAAGGAGATGGGTCTGCGCGCCATCCTCAACTTTGGCCACAGTATCGGCCACGGCATCGAGGCGCTGCTTCAGCCTGAATATCTGCACGGCGAGTGCGTCTCCATGGGCTGCATCAAGGAGGCTGAGATCGCTCGCGGCATGGGAATCTGTACCTCGGCCACTGTGGGTCGTCTGCGTCGCTGTCTTGCTGCCTACGGTCTTCCCGTGCGCGTGCCGGATCACGTCGCGACACGTGACGTCCTGGTGAAGATGGAAGTCGACAAGAAGAACAGCCAGGGCGTCAAGAAGATTGTGCTGCTGGAAGAGATCGGCAAGGTGCTGGCCAATCCGTACGCGCGTGCTGTGAAGGACCATCAGATTGAGCTCGTGCTGGAGAAGCAAGTTCGTATGGTGCCTGGTGCCAAGGCCAACGGTACTATCCGTGTGCCTGGATCCAAGTCCATCTCGAACCGTGTGCTGCTCATGGCCGCTCTTGGCAAAGGCTCGTGCCGCATTACGGGTCTCCTGCACTCGGACGATACTCAGGTCATGATGAACGCGCTGCAGAAGGTTGGGGCCAAGTTCTCCTGGGAAGACAACGGCGCCGTGTTGGTCGTGGAAGGCACAGCTGGAAAGTTTGCCACCGTGGCCGATGGAGAAGAGATTTACCTCAGCAACGCCGGCACGGCTGCTCGTTTCCTCACGAGTGCGATGACTCTGGTACCGAGCCAGAACGGCGGCACGGTGGTCGTCACGGGCAACTACCGAATGAAGGAGCGTCCGATTGCGCCGCTGGTTGACGCTCTACGTGGCAATGGTTGCGAGATTTCTTACTTAGAGACTGAGGGTTGTCCACCGCTGGCGATCCGCGGCACTGGTCTGCGTGGTGGCACTGTGCGTCTGGCCGCCAAGGTCAGCAGCCAGTACGTGTCTTCCGTGCTTATCAGCGCACCGTACGCCAAGGAACCGCTCGTGCTGGAGCTCGAAGAGGAAGAACCCACTTCGCTCCCGTACATCCTGATGACCACACAGCTCATGAAGCAGTTCGGCATCCCGGTGGAAACGCTAGCCCCCAACCGCTACCGTGTGCCCTGTGGCGTGTACGAAAACCCGAAGGAAGTATCCGTGGAAGTGGACGCGTCGTCAGCCACGTACCCGCTGGCATTTGCTGCTATCACGGGTGGACAGGTGACGGTGGAGGCTCTGGGAAACACCAGTCTTCAGGGAGATGCTGCCTTCCACACTCTACTGCGCTCGATGGGCTGCACTACAACTCAAGACGCCACGTCCACGACGGTCTCGGGTCCGCAGGATGGCACACCGCTGAAGGCTGTGGAGATCGACATGGAGACGATGACTGACGCGTTCATGACGGCTGTTGCCCTCGCTGCAGTGGCCGATGGCACGACCAAGATCACTGGTATCGCGAACCAGCGTGTGAAGGAGTGCAACCGCATTGAGGTCATGGTGACGGAGCTGCGTAAGATTGGCGTGGAGTGCGGTGAGCTGCCCGATGGTATCTGGATCAAGGGCACTGCAGGTAAGACCGATCACCTGAAGAAAGCCTCGATTGCGTGCCACAACGACCACCGTATCGCTATGAGCTTCGCCGTTCTCGGCTCTGTGGTG